TTTATTCATCAAAGGGATTTACATTTTTCAATGTTTCTTGCATATTCTTCAAATGTTGAATAACACTTATTGTGACTGATTAAAATATAAAAAATTGAAATAAAAAAAGAACTGGAAATGGAAATTGAAAGAAAAAAATATAAACCGATATGAAGAGAACGACAACAGTTAATTCTTTTGAATAAACAGAAAAAAGCAAATATCAATCCTTTCAATCGGAGTCGGAATCATAATGAAGCCGGCCAAAATTTTTGAAATGAAGTCCACTAGGACCTTGTTGTGGAGAAGATGGATTTTGGGTCGACAAATTTGATGCGTCATTGCTGCGGTTTGTTTGTTGAGGCATCTCAGTCGGTGCAAATGAGCGTTGTGGTGTAGCCAAAGAAACATTGGTGGCTGATGTTCGTCGGGGAATGGGTTGAATCCGAATCATTCCTGGTACTGGACGTTGTGCAGATGGTGTTGTTGCTGGAGTAGTGGGATTGATGCGACGAAGCAGAATCATTGTTGTCAACGAACGTTTTGGGGTTGTTGAAATAGTTGAAGAAACGTTGGATCTTGGTGTTACTTGAGGAGTTGAATAAGCTGGAATCAATGCTGGCAACGTACGTGGTGGTGTAGCTGATTGTGTCACTTGAGTTCCAACGACGGTATTGATGCTCGTCAGATTTGGCGATAGATCTAAAAAAACGTTAATTTTGTTTAATAATTTCTATAAATCACTTCGTCGTTTTTTTCTTTTGATTTACCTGAGTTTGAGTTTGCCGTATCCGATTGTTGTGGTGTTGAAGTCATGGAATCATCAGTATTAGCAGTCATGTCGGGTGAATAAGCTTGATTAGTAGCCGAAAAAGTCACATGAGGCATAGATTTGCGCCGAGCAAAAATATTTTGAGGCTTATCGCTCGGTTTCTTCAAAATTGAACGAATTTTATTCAAATCGAGCGTAGGAAACGGTTGTCGCGGTTGTGTTTGTGGCGATGTAGACGGAGCTGGCCGTGAAAGATTTTGCATTGATTGATGTCGACGAATTCGAGCGCCCGTTGGTCGTGCAAATGCCAGTCTATCCAAGGCGTTGCGTCGACAAATTTTAACGCGACAAACCCTGTCGTATCTATGGTCTTTCAACCAGTTACGTCGGGCACGTGTGACTAAAAATACATTAATTTTCAAAAAAAATATATTAAGGAACATTTTCTTTTGTTTTGGCTTTAGAAATTCTATTATAACATTTGTCATGAATGGTTGCACATGGTGGACATTTTTGCACACCTTACAATTATTATAACTTTTTCAGCTAAAATGGACAAATTTTTTGAAATACTTACGCATTTTGTTATGAACAAGAAGTTAATCAATGTACTTTTGTGAAATTTTCGATTATTTTTGCGATGAATCGAGATGGAAAATATGATGAAATTGTTGCTTCAATGCTTTACTTCAAAAACCTGTTGCAACCACTATGTTCAACTTAATCGTATTACAATGCGCGTTTCTATGACATTTGGCACTCTTGCAAGAGCTCCATATTCAGCTTTTCGCAAACGTCACAAGATGTCACCTTGAAACCGCCAAAATCTATGAACACGGCCAAATCGCGAGCATACGCGACTTCATATCATTGATTCGCATTCACAACTCAATTTTAAAGGTTATATCTCTAAAACTCTTTATTAATCAAACTCATTATCGATTAAATGAATAACAATGAGTACCAGAAAAAAGTATTGTTGCGTAAAGAGCTGTGAATATTTCACCGGAACAACAGATAAAGACATAATCATGTTCAGGTTTGATTTGTATTTATAATTGTTTCATTTTTCAATATTTAGATGTTTGCATTTGCATCGACTTACACAGGTTTCCAACAGACGATAGTCAGAGAAGGATGTGGATTGATGCATTGAATTTAGTTTCAAAGAGTGGCGATAACTCAAATTACGGTGGTTTTGGCTTTGTTTGCAGCCGACATTTTTCTTCCAATGATATTGAAAAAACAAGCAAACGTATTCAACTCAAGAAAGGGTCTATTCCATTGAGCAATTCGGATCACGAATCATCAGTGAATGAAATGGATAATACAAATGATGAATCACCAATGGTCGAGTTGGACTCCATTAATTCAATGCAAGATGAAGTTCCACAAACGGAAAATCACTGTGAAAATTGTAGCAGTTTAATTTTTGAGCATGATAAGCTAAACAAGTTACTTCTAAAACAGCGAATGGATTATGAAATGAAAATCCTGAAGAAAGAAGAACAGATAGAAAATATGTCCCTGAAAATTGCTGGTTTGAAAACAAAGATTGATGTTTTGGAAAAGTCAAACAAGCTGTACATATCGAAAATGGAAGAATTACGAGATAACCAACTTCGTTCCATGAACGCTGTCGATGTAGATGTAATTGATTTTTTTGCTTTTAATCATGCTATCGTTCTATTTGCACAGTGATTTTTCTTAAATTTCAGACCACCCAGAAAAGAGAAATCATTGATTGTTTGGTTAATGGGATCTTATTAAAACAAAAATATCCATCCAACGTCCGTCGATTTGCAATGAGCATGCATTACCAGAGCCCCCGGGCGTACGAATTTTTACGACAAACATTCAGTAATCATTTGCCTCATGCTGCAACCATTCGAAAATGGTATGCCAATTCTGATCTAAATGCAGTACCTGGAATTACCGCATCAACTTTGGAATTTCTAAAACGTAAAGTTGAAGAGAAAAAAAGGGCTGCTTCGGAGTTAGTTTGTAGTGTTTGTTTCGACGAAATGTCTATCAGGAAGCAAGTAACCTGGGATCCAAATTTGGGACAAATGATAGGGTACGTTACTTATGGATGTGAAGATGAAGATGATCCATTGATAGCTTGTGAAGTACTTGTTTTCGTGATTAGCGGCTTGAATGAGAAGTTTAGAATGCCGCTTGCCTATCATTTTGTAAACAAACTCGATTCACCACAGAAAGCAGAGCTCGTGAAATCTGTTCTTACTGCGTTGACTGAAATTGGTGTTGAGATAGCAAATATCACATTTGATGGGCATTCAACCAACAAAAAACTTTGTAAAATCCTCGGAGCAAATTTTAATGTTTTTAGCAAGGATTTCCAGCCAAATTTCACCATCAACGGAAAACGAATTCACATTATATTTGATGTTTGTCATATGGAAAAGCTGGTGAGAAAATGGCTTGACGAAAAGAAGGTTTTGTATAATGCGAATAACGATCCAATTAAGTGGAAATTTATTGAGCAATTAGTACGATTCAGTCAACAAAAAGGATTTTGTTTAACTCATAAACTAAATCAATCGCATTTGAACTGGCGACAGAAGCCGATGCACGTGCGTACTGCAGTTGAAACCCTCAGCAGATCAACGGCGGATTCAATCGATTTTTTGAGAGATGAAGGCTATCAAGAATTTTCAAACTCAGCTCCAACTTCTGAATTAATTAGAATTTTTGATGATTGTTTTGATATATTCAATACAAAGTTAGTTGGTGAAAATAAAAACGTGTTCAAGAATCGCTTATGCTCTGAGAATAAAGAGGCCATTTCAAAGCGTCTGGTCGAAGCTGTTGACTATATTAAAAAATTGACGTTTAGAAAGGATGGCGGTGAAGTGAAAACTCTATGTCGATCTGATGCGAGAACTGGTTTTATTGGATATATAATCGACATTCATTCCTTATTAGCAATTTATAAGGATTTAGTTGAAGACAAACAAATTCTCAATTCAATTCCAACCTATTATCTGAATCAAGATGCTGTGGAAATGTTTTTTGGCAAAGTGCGGTATGTTTAATTAGTATTCAAAAGTGTATAAAATGAAAATAATGTACTAGTTTAATTAGTTCTTATGAAACATATTTTTGATACACAATCTTTCACTCCGTTTCCTGCTTTAAAAGATCTCTTGGAGGCTTCAACGATAACCCAAATATAACACAATTCAACGCAGCCTACAGGAAGCTATTGGGAAATGATTTAATATTTACCTCTCGTAAGGGGAATTGTGAGGCGTTCGAATCAAATGCGGATCCATTTTCAGACATCTTATACATATCATCAAGACGAGATAAATGTAACCAGTCTACTGATATCGAAAATGAAGATGAATTCGCTATAACATCTGAAATGGAAACACTCTACCGAAAATTGGGCGACATAAGTGAATCTGCAGGAAGCAACTTAACTGACGATTTGCAAAAATATATGATAGGTTATCTTGCAAATTTGATAGAGGAAAGAATTCGGAGCACCGATAATTGCCAATATTGCAAGAATGTCTTCCAGTCATGTCCAAAGGTCGACAAGGCTTATGTTAGTTCAAAATGTAAAAACCTACCATGTTTAAGTACATATAATATTTGCAAAGAGGCAGATCAATTCCTTAAACTTCGATTGTTAAAAGGGAATATTAGGTTCAAAACAATTTATTATACAATTATTAATAATATTCCAATCGAGCAAATTTTCATTGAAGCGGATTTCTCCCAACATCCGGAGCATAAGCTATATTTGATACGAGCTATAATTGATGGTTATATTCGGATTAAGGGAACTTTCATGGCTAGAACGGCGACTCAAGAGCTCCATACTAAACAATTTAGACAAAGATTCAATAGATTGGTGCATTTTTTTGGTCAATAAATACCCGCAAAGCTAGTAAAAACTCATGAAAAATTAAAACAAATTTATGTATATCATCTTTCTGAAGCCACACAAAATTCTCAACAAAAATAATTCACAAAATTGTTTAATAAAAAGTCTAAGACTCAATTTATGTTCTCCAAAGAAGAGCTTCGAAATAAATTTCAAAAAAATGAAAATTGAGTTGAAAATAAGAAGTTTTATTGATTTTAATCAGCTATATTTTGATTCAACATTTTTAATTGCATTTATTCCAGCATTTTTATTCGATATATAAACTTTCGGCACGTGTAACGTGTGAATTGTTTATGATTGAAAATGTTGCTCTTGATTGATCAAGCGCAACTAAATGCGATCAAATGAAACACGGTCTTCGTAATAGCGAATTACAAGTTGTGGCCAAGCTTTAGAAGCCTCCTTAGCTTTCACCCATTTGCAGTTTCCATTTGGCCATTGTACCCACATCAATAGTTCGCCATTCACGTCCGTCACATCTGTAAATCAAGAACAAAACAAAACGAAAGAAGAATGTTAGGTACGTTTATCTTCATGTATCTAAAACGATCTAAAATAAGGCAAAATCAAAATAAAATGAATGGAAAGAAAATATTACATTGAATGTTCTGTGGATCGCCGTCTGTTCCTTCGATGTTTTCCGTCAGTGATGCTTGGTCAAAGCCGTCCGGTGACTGTTGCCATAACAAACGAGTTTCGTAAAATTTGATTACGGAATCTGGCCAAAACATGTTCGCTTCATTCGCTGGATATTCTTCAGCAATTGCAACATCACCAAATTTCATCAAAAACCAAATGTTTCCAATTCTGTCACGTTTGGCACCTAATTGAAAAGAGTACAGAATTGGCCGATCTGACAAATATTGTATGGAAATTTCGTCTAGCCGTATTTTTTACCCAAAATGATTCCTTTTCTCGTCTTTTCGAAATCGGCCAAAGCATCAGGACAACCCAGAAGATTTTCTTTCGGCTCCCATGTGTTATCGCGCCGATCATAGCCTTCCCATTTGATGTAGAATTCCGACTGCAGAAAATAACCTCAATAAAAATCTTGCAAGAGTCTATTTTCTGTGGAATTTGAAATTTAAGAAAAAGCAATCACACTTACCTCATTTTGGTCGTTAATTCTTTTTTTCAAGATTTTTTCAACAACAAAATCAATTGGATCCATGGTGAAAAGCGATTAAAGCACTTTATTCGACTTTATTTGACTTGAGATTTACCTCTTGCAATTTGTTTTCTTCGTGAGCACATTCAGTGAAACTACACTGATCGAATGTGACAGTTTGAAACTATGACAGCTTTCACGGTATGATCGCCATACTATGAATTGTTATGTATATATACCAATGTCGCCTGAACTTATGCAATGCATGCTTTCAATTTCACTCTTGCAAGAGTTCGCACGAGAAGCCATGTTGCCTCGTAATCGTCTGAGATGGTGCTAATGTGCAGATCAAGTACCTGTTACAACCCTTCGTTTACAGCATTTCGAGCGAATGCGAAAATAGCAGTGAATTCACATCCGAATCGTTTTCACGGGCAAGTGCGAGTGTAAGTGTGGAATTGAAGGTAGTGACGACGCCTGCAGTGATCACGACCGCATCGACGACGAACTTGGCGATACCATCAGCATCGGTTGGCGACATCAATTTCACAGCCGAATCGTTTTCACGTGAATTAGACGGATTAAACTCTTGTTTGCAAATGTGACAATTTGTTGCTTCATTGTACAGTTTTTCCTCTTTCTCACTTAAAGGGTACATTGGTTTTATATCTTCCAAAATGTTGAACACATCATTTGCGATTTTTTTTAATTCGCATATGAACCACTTAACGCAGTCTGGTCCGCGACGACTGGCATAATATGATTCGGAAGCAGCATTTTCATTTTTGAAATAATAACCAATGCTGTGAGCTTCATGTTGATGATGTACAGTAGTTGAACACATGCTGTTATACACTTCTTTTTCAGGTTTCTTCAAAAGTGTTTCACAATCAGCATACACAATGAATGGAATTTTTTGTTCGTTTTTATGATTAACGAAACTTAAAATTTTTCTTTCCTCGCTCGGCATTTCAATCTTACAATCATTTACATTTTCACAAATTATTTTGTGTTCTTTCAATTTCACATCCGATTGAAAGTAAATCAAGCAACGATCGCAGATGTATTTTTTATGTTTATTCTTGCTCAATTGCAAACCAACAAGCGAACTCAAATTTTTTATCCAGCAGTAGTGATAGTCCACAGTCAAATTATTCATCTGCTCTGCAAGTAATAGCAGTATAATATTGCACGTGCGTGCAGACCAGGTTGGCACATAGAGTCTGACGAGGATGAGCCTGCATATCCGGTCATTTTGCATTACTATCCAACAGCTCCGCCAGCACCGATTTTGCGTAAGTTTGCATTCACCATTTTTATTTTCTTTAAATAAATTTCAACAAATTTTTATTCTTTTTTTCCAAAGCTTCATCCGATCCGTTTACCCTGGATCGTGCATGCGGGCCGGACAGGCGCATGTGGAATCGGATGAAAAGGGGCTGCATTAAGATGTGCCATATGATTCATGATATTCTCGGCATGCTCGGCGGAGTGTATGCCGTTTACGCAATTCATCAACACTTTTTCGCCGAAGAAGAAAAATTTGAAGTTTTTTCGACACACACAATTGTGCGTCGAGCAAATTGAATGTATTGCGAATTGTGAATTGAATATTGTGAATTGAAATAAAAAAAATCATTAAAAGCAGATTGCAAATCCATTCCATATAATAGCATTTAGTTTAGTAGTAGAGATGTGCCACCACCAAATTTCATACACACCATCAAAGCATACGAATGAGTGGAAGAAGAAAAGAGAGCAGTGAATGCGATCGTAGTCTACGCACCTCTCGTTTCTTCCTTCACTCGTTTGTATGCTTTACATGTATGCGTTCAAAATACAAATTTCATACACACCATCAAAGCATACGAATGAGTGGAAGAAGAAAAGAGAGCAGTGAATGCGATCGTAGTCTACACACCTCTCGTTTCTTCCTTCACTCGTTTGTATGCTTTACATGTGTGCGGGAGTGTGTATGTGGACAACCTGGCAGTTTCATTTTAATCTATTCACATATGCGCACACATTCCGCAGGTGAATGGTTGGTTCGCATCAATAATATGAGCGCGGCGAGCATGCGAAAAATTCATCAGTCTTACCTGGATCGTTTGTCGACTTGGTTATTGCGAGCACAATTATATTAAAATAAATGAAACTCATCAGCTGAATTATTCTATATGAAACTCATCGGAGATGTGCAGGTTATTGCAAAACTGGTTTTGGCCACGCCCATTCAAACTGGTTTTGACCACGAAAACTGATAGAGAAATGGGCGTGGCTAAAAACGGTTTTGCAATAACCGGCACATCTCTACTACTCTGGTTGTTTTCAGTTTTCGACTCGCTTCCACCCATCTTCGATCAAGAGTTTTGCTCAGCGTGTTGTTACGGCGACTTACTTTGATAAACTGTGAATATTGTATTGAATTTTTCCACTTATATACTATTACAGTTTTATGGTTTACAGAAAAAATTGATTCAAGTTCCAAAGGTTTTACAATTTTTTACGCGTGACAATTTGATTTTTCGCTGTGTATTCAAAAAACGGTTAATTTGCTTAATCGCTAATGTTGAATGTCTGTTTAAAAGAAAAATGAGACAAGAATAAAAAAAAAGCATTAGTAAGTATGAATGAAAAAATAAAAGAAAATGTAATTAAAATGCTTATTCTTTCAATCCCATGTTTGTTGCGCAAAATTGCGTTTTTTCGCCCGTGACAGCTTTTGTCAATGAATCGGCAACTTGCTCTTCCGTTTTTACGTATTTTATTTGAATGGTTCCATCCTTGATTTGCTCTCGGGTGTGATGAAACCTGATGTCAATATGTTTTGATCGTGGTCGGTAGGCTTCCATTTTTGCTATTTCCATACAGCTCTGGTTGTCACAAAAAACTGTGACCGGAGTAAGGGGGTTTTCAGTAACCTCTTTCGCCAACTGTGTTGTCCAAAGGATTTCACGAACGACGGATGATAACGATATATATTCCGCTTCCGTGCTTGACAACGCTACTATTGGCTGCTTCTTACTACACCAAGATATTGCTGCACCGGACATTTTCAAAACATATCCCGTGCGCGACTTTCTATCGTCAGTCGACGATGCCCAATCTGCATCGCAAAATGCATGCAATGCATTTTCTTCGCTGTTTTCAAAACGCAGTTTTAAATTGGCCGTGCCCTTCAAGTATCGCATGATTCGTTTCACCGCAGTCCAATGTGGCTCTGCATGTTTTGCATTGAACCGGCTCATGTTGCTCGTTGCAAAGGCTAGGTCAGGTCTAGTTGCATTCGACAGGTAAAGTAACGATCCAATTATTTCTTGGTATGGCACTGTACCTACGAGACTGTTTTCGCTTGTGACCATGTCTTGTGTCAATTTTTGATTAAGCTCGCTCGCAGTTTTCGTTGTTTTACAATCAGCCATGCCAAATTTCTGTAGAATAGAATGAATGTAATTAATTTGATCGATTTCAATGAAGTTTTTACCACGGTTTATGCACATTCCCAAACAATTTCGTGCTGCTCCAATGTCCTTCATTTGAAATTGTTGATGCAATTGATGTTTGACCTCTTCCAGCTTTTTACCATCCACATAAAAAATAAGGAAATCGTCAACGTAAATTGCGATTATTAATCCCGATTTTATGTATAGACATGGGTCGCAACGGCTCTTGGTGAATCCAATCTTGATGAGAAACATATCCAACTTTTTGTTCCACTGGCGTCCGGCCTGCTTCAAGCCATAGACCGCCTTGTTCAATCGACACACTCGACCCGAACCATCATTGAAATTTGTTGGTTGTTCCATATATATTTCCTCATCGAGATCTCCTTGGAGAAACGCAGTAATAACCATCCGGTAATAGTCCATCTGGTATATATTCATATTTTTCTGTACTGCCAGTGCCATCAAAAAACGAATAGTATCGTGTCTGACTACCGGCGCAAATGTCTCATAATAATCTATACCAAACTTTTGACTGCAGCCCTTTGCGACAAGACGTGCCTTGTAGCGAATCGGTTCATTGCGCTCATTTGTCTTTATTTTGAACACCCATTTGGCTTTGATAGCCTTTCGACCGGCTGGCAGTTTTTCCAAAATCCAGGTTTCATTTTGCTTGTGTGACAAAATTTCTTCTTTCATAGCGTTTATCCATTTATCCGCTTCTTGACCACTAAGTGCCTCCGAAACTGTTGATGGCTCTGTGGTTAATAAAGCAAAATTAGCTTGAAATGGTCTAACCTGTGTACGATTTCTGCCGCCGCGTCTTGGTGTTAAGGGACGATCAATTTGCGCTCTCGTTCTATAGTCACCATCCGATGTGTCATCCACTTCCGTAGTAGTGATGTCCTCTTCGATGAGCGACCGTGTTGTGTTGTCATCGTGACTGTCATCAACTTGTTGTAGAGTAATTTCTCTCGAATCGTCTGATGCAATTGTTCTTTCACCGATTGATTCATACTCGCTGATACTATCGTCCGCATCAGATGTGCTCTCTTCATCAGATTTCCTCTCTTCAACTTGTGCCTCTTCGCCCAAATCGAATGTTACTGTGGATGATAGTGATTCGTAAAATTGGACATCACGACTGACAATTACCTTTTTTGTTCCCGAATCATAGCATCTGTAGCCCTTTTTTTGATCATCGTATCCGACAAAAATCATTTCCTTTGATTTTGGTTCCCACTTGGTTCGCTTTTCTTTTGGCACATGTACCATAACTTTACTGCCAAAAATTTTCAAATGTGATACGTTAGGCTTCTTTCCAGGCCAAACTTCTTCAGGTGTTTTGTTTTCCAATCGCGTTCTAGGTGTGCGATTCATGAGATAAGACGCCATGTTGCTAGCCTCAGCCCAAAATTTTATGTCCAGATTTGCATCGAAAATCATGCATTTTGCTCGCTCAACAATCGTTCGGTTTGCTCTTTCAGCTACTCCATTTTGCTGTGGAGTATAAGTGCATGTGAGTTCGTGCTTGTATCCGCAATCATCGAAGAACTTTTTCATCGGTTCCGAAACATATTCGGTTCCATTGTCCGTGCGGAATCGCTTGATCTTTTTACCCGTTTCATTTTCAACCAATTTAGCAAAGCTTCTAATATGTTCCAAGACTGTAGTAGTTTGCTTATCTTTCAAAAATCGAGTAAAAGTTTTTCTTGAAAAATCATCAGTGAGAGTCAACATATATTTACCGCCGCCCAATGATACATTTTGCATTGGTCCGCATAAATCAGAGTGGATGAGATCCAATACTCCCGCAGAAACATTTTCGCTGGACTTAAATGGTTTTCGCTGATGCTTGCCCATTGGACAGATTTTGCATCTGTTAATTTCGCTCTTATCC